TCTTTTCTCCCTTGAAAATATTTTAAATATTTAAATGGGGGAAAAGGAGAGGGGGCTGCTGGGAATGAGCTTATTGCAGTGACAAAATGCAACGTTTTCAGGACTGGAGAGAGTACACTCTTGCCTTGCTTGCTGCTGACAGATTCAATCCTCGACATCACATATGGTTTCCAGTGCACCTCCAAGAGTGATCCCTGAGCACCATCAGGTGTGGCCCCCAAACCAAAGTTAAAAAATACAGCCTTTACACAAACCCAGGGAGGCATGATGGCATACTAGTGAAATTTGGGGGTCCTTTTTTTTTTGTATAGTAGATGGAACCAAGTGCCCACTCATATCATGATCTCCAAACTTTCTGACTATGTTATGTTACAATGTAAAAGAGACTTTGCAGGTATAATCTAAGGTGAGAGATTTGGAGAGAGATCATCTTATCCTGAATTACGTGGGTAGCTTTACCCTAATCACATGAGTTCACACAAGCAGGGAAAATTTTGCAGCTGTGATCAGACAAAATGGCAGAAGAATCTGAGCCAAGCAAGGTGAGAAGGAATGTGGACTGTCTGGACAGACCAGGAAACCCCCTCAGTAGACAGCCAGTGAGAAAGTGCAGATCTTGGCCCATTAAGTGGAAAGGGAGTAAATTCTGCTCACAACCTGAATGAGCAGGAAACAGATTTTCCCCTTGAGTTCCCAGAAAGGAATGCAGCCCTGCAGATACCTGAATTTTAACCCCCTGATCCCTGGATCAGACTCCTGATCCTTCCTACAGAGAACTGAGTAAGTATTGTTTCAGGGACCAAGTCCTGGTGATATCTTGTCGCCATACATGCTGGCTTGCAACTTTACTGATTGCAAGAGGTGGTATAGCACATTTGTGAGGAATGTGGATTTGAGGGCCAAACTGCTTTGGTACTAATAATTCCAGATATGCCACTAATTAGATGGGTGACCACAGCAAAAACATAACTTCTCATCTGTTCTAAGAATAACTAAAATCACCTCTACTAGTTGGGGTAAGAGATAATGCCGAGATAAGAGGCAAGTTAAGCGATCCAATGATAATGTCATTTGAACACAAAGGTATTTCTTTCCTTCTCTCAACAGACCATGAGTCCTGTTTACAGACTCCTAGTGACCTCGTTGACATTGTAACAGGAACGATTGCTTCTAAGTATATACTCCATCATTTCATATTAATACTCGATCTGTCTACAGCTTATGTCTAATCTTTAAAATCAAGCATATCTTTGTCCTGGGTAATGAAGCAGCTGGAAGGGCACTTTCCTTGCATGCCGCAGACCCAAGTTTGATCCCCAGCACCCCATATGGTCCCCTGAACTGGCAAGAAGTTATCCCTGAGCCCAGAACAAGGAGTAAGCCCTGAGCACTGCTGGGTGTGGCCCCCAATCCAAATCAGTTAAAGCATATTAGATAATCCCACCTAGTTTACAAACAAGCAAACAGGAGTCTGAAAGTTGAAATCCCTTAGGCTTTGCTGAAGGGAAGGGTCCTTTTCACAAACCTATCTCTCCTGTTTAAGTGAAAATAAAAAGCTAAAGGGCACCCTGGTGGGGGGTTGGGGTTGGACCAGATTTGAGCCCAGTGCCTAAGGGCCCTGCCTTGCATGCCTGAGTCTCCAAGTGCCATCCCTGGTGGCATCCTGTGTGTCGAGCACAGTCCTGGAAGCTCAGCAATGATCCCCAAATCTCAGTGAGTTTTGGAGCCAGGTGTGTGTCGGCTCCTTCACAATGAAAGGGTGAATATTACAGAGCTAAAGTGAGTATTATAAAGTATTACAAAGCATGTGAGCACCATCACCAGGAGTGGATGACCTCAGCATACATATCCATGAACACTGCAGCAATCCCCAATTGAAAGGGCAAGATCTCATTCTGGTGTCCTGGTGTGTGACCCCACCCCCACCCCTCCAAACTTCACTCCATGCCCAAGACTCGGTTGGGAGACAAGTGGAATAAACACTGGACGAGGTACAAGTCAGGGTGTCCATGCTCTGGGGTGTCTGTGCCCTTCTGCCTGCCTTGGGGAATTCCATCCCCCACCTTCAAGTCTTGGTACCACCGAGACATGGACTCAGTGATCCACTCTTCAGCTCTGATAATCCATGACTCAATTTGGAAAGCAGCCACTGTCACTGGCACTGTCCTCCCGTTGTTCATTGATTTGCTCGAGCGGGCACCAGCAACGTCTCACAACAAATTGTGAGACTTGTTGTTACTGTTTTTGGCATATTGAATACATCACGGGTAGCTTACCGGGCTTTGCCATGTAGGCAAGATACTCTTGGTAGCTTGCCGAAAGGGGCCGAGGAATCGAACCCAGGTCGACTGCATGTAAGGCAAACGCCCTACCTGCTGTGCTATTGCTCCAGCCCTTGGAAAGCAGTACAGTCTGAGTTATGTAGACAGGGAGAATGTTAGGGATTTTAAAAGCAGTTTCTCTTGAGAAAGTAGCTGGTGGGGGGAAGGAGGAAGGGTGGAGGAGGGGTGTTTGTGACTCGGGTGGAGGGAAGTGGCACTCTGGTGGTGGGTGTGGTATTGGGACAATGTATGCATGAACATGTCCTTACCAGTGCTATAAACCGCAGGGTACCTCCTTTTAAAAATGGGGAGGGAGGACACCAAAAAGCAATCAAATAAGCAAATAAAAAATATTTATTCCTCTTAAGGAAAGACTGAGAGGGAAGAAAGACCTGGTGGTGGAAACAAGGAAATTAGTCGAGTCTCCCAGAGGCACTCAAGACAAGCAGAGACTTGCTGGGTTAAACCACACCTTTGCTCACATTCCTCCCAGGGCAAAGCTCAGGATGGGAATTTTGATTTGACCAGGGCTGGGGGAAATCCCTGGAGTTCAGCTTTTGCTGAATTTCCCATGGGAAGCCAGATGGACACATCCTAGAAAGAAGCACTGAACAAAGACACTTTTCCCGCTCAGCACATGGGGCTGGCAAGCCTGGGACTGGGAGCCACAAACCAGATCTTACACTCACGTTGGCACCTGGGGAATGTGTGACCAGGAAGTCATTTCTTCTTCTCTTTGAACCTCCATCTTTGTAAGAGAAAACTGATGTAAGCTAGGAGAACAAATCTAAGACAGGCGAGCTGGGGGCGCCTGGGTGATGCTCGGCGCTGGTCTTTGCGGTCAGTGAGGTCCTGTGACTCTCCAGTGCAGCAGGACTGACCTCGGGTTCATGCCCTGTGGGTCATTTCCAGGAGGTTTCTGAGAGCAGCTGCAAGAGAAAGTGTACTTGGGGTTTACGAGCGAGACGTGCCAGACAGTGCAGGGCCGGAAGTGGGGACTCCACATACAAACTGGTTTATCCTCCAGAGCCCCTTGCTGGAAAAGGAGCCGGGCCGTTTCCTGCCTTCTCCTTTGTCCAGATGCCCACTCCACCCTTCATCTGTTTATTTTCGCCCCAGTCAAGGGCCTCTTGGGAAGGGGCTCTTGAGGCAAAGGCAGCACGTCATAAATGGAAAGAATCTTGCCTAAGGAGAAACTGAGAGCTTTTTCGGTTCAGCCCCTGATACTGAAACAGTCATCGGTGGAGTCATTCTCTCCTGCCTGTAAAGTGAGGAGGTTAGGATAGACCTGACGTAGGAGGGTCAGAATGGCAGCTCCTTGGGCCCTGTTCAGACCAGCTGGAGGTCTGGTTCCAGCAGGGGGTGGAGGTGGGGGATAGCCTCAGTCCATCTCTGACCCCCTTTTGTGAGAGCTGGGAATGGGGTGGCACCCGAGACTGCAATCAGGGGTTTCCAGACCTTGAACCCACCCCCACCCTACCTCCACTCCTCACCACAGGCCTCCAGCAGCCTACCTGCTCCCTCCCTGTGCCCCCCCCCCCCTCCCCTCAGACCCTTGGAACTTCCTCTCTTCAGTTCAGAGTCTGGATAAGGGTCAGGAGGCCTTGAAGATGGGGGGGTAACCAGGAGAGACCCTGTGGTCCCTGCTTTAGGATCCATCCATGACTCCCTCCATGGGCCCAGCCCAGTGTGGCAGCAAAGTCCCCAGGTCCAGGGACCTGCCACCACTTTTGTTTCACATGGGTCAGTGTCGGTGAGTGAAATGGGCAACAGGGCCTGGAGACTATTCCCAGGGCCCAGCTAACAGGAAGTAAAGTCTTACAGCACATTAAGAGCAAAGTCATGGGGAAACCATCCGCTGGGTGTACACTGTTAGGCCCATCCAAGGCAGTTCCCTAGCCTTTCCAGACCTGGGCTCCCCCCACCCCACCTTCCCCCCCCCACACACACACATTCATTCCACCACCACTACCACTATACCTGTCTTTGTTTCCTTCCGAGTCCCACTCCCCTCCTATGCTGGTCGCCTTGTTGTATCGCTCTTGGAATAGCCTGTGGACACACAGGGGCCCCAGTTGAGAAACGCTGGGCTCAGGGCCACCATAGGTCAGAGCACACCTGTGTGGGTAAGGCCTTCGCTGCCCTCAGAGCAACGTGCTTTGGAAATAGTAGATTGCCAAATCTGAATGAGAACAGGATCATCTGCTCCCAGGTGCAGTGGGGGACACTCAAACGTGTTCACTGTCCCTGGAGCAGGAGAGTTTTCCTTTCCCTGAAAATCAAGGCTTAGGGCTCTCCAGAGCTGTCCCAGCAGATTCCGACCTCCCGCCTCAGACCCTCCTCCTGCAGTGGGAGTGAGGGTTGCAAATTTCCAAATTCTAGATTTCTACCAGACTGTTCCTGGACCTGAGGTCCCCCCACCCCCACTCCCATTCCGAAATGCCTAGCCACCTGCAAAATAACAAGGGAGAGTGGGACTTTGAAACAAGAAATCTGAGGAAATGAGAGGAAACAGACGTCTGGAGCAAGTCTTCACAAGCTCCATTTTTTGGGTTGTGCCTTTTCCATATTTTATTAAATTCTTGTTTTAAAAAAATGACAGCAGCATTATCAAAGACAACCTATGTACAAACATTTTACAAAAGAAACATCACTGGTATGTAGGTTGGAAAAGGGGTGAGCTGCAGAACAGACGCAGTTTCTGGGGCCGAGTCTGCCCTCAGAGACATGGGTGTAATAAGGAGGAGTGGGGTGTAGGAGGTGGGTCACAGGGCTGGTGCCCAAGGGTTCCCAGAGCACAAGACCCACCTCCTCTTCGCACCCAGAAGGCCAAGAAAGCGAGCAGGGGGGCGCTAATAAGCCAGCCAAACTGGCCCTGGCGCTGTCTTCCCCTCTCAACTCATTGGCACCTTCAAAACGGAAAGCTCCAGGGATGCTGGGTGGGTTCCACAGACGATTGCTCCTTAGACACAACCCTAGGCCCAACTGGCCTGAATTCTTCCATTCGGGTTTCTCCTTGTTGGAAAAAGAGGGAATTGCAGAAATGCTCCCTTCAAGACAGAATTCAAAGGGGGCTGACCCCGGGCCAAAAAAAAAAAAAAAAACTTGATAAGGGATGGGGGTGGGATAGAGGAAGAGGCAAGAGTTGGGGCGTAGAAATATCCCCTTCGGGCCAAGAATCCAGAAGGTAGCAAAAATCCAGAAGGTGTCCTGGGACCGGGCTAACGTCGCCCCCCACCCGAACCCACCCCCTTGTCCGTCTGTACCTACAAGCCGGGCTCCTTCCTCAACTCCCCCAGTTCCTTGATCTCCACCTTCTTGTACTTCCCCGACTTCCTCCGGTTGGTGATGATCAGGACCACCACGCCGGCCACCAGGGCCACCACGACCACCACGATGACGGCGATGAGGCCGGCCGTGAGGCGCTTCATGGAGAACTGCGGGGGCTTCTCGTCCAGGTAGTAGATGAGGGTCCGCTCCAGGTGCAGGGGCTCGCCGCGCACGCGCACGTCGAAGCGGTCGCCGCCCTGGAAGAGCGACTCGCCCTTGACGTCGCGCTCGAAGTAGTAGGCGGCGTCGGCGATGTCCACGTCGTCCGCGGCCTTCTGCGACGCGTTCTGCCGCAGCTCGATCTGGATGGTGGGCTCCTCGTAGTGCACGGCCTCCAGGAAGCGCGGGTGCAGCTGGTAGCGCTCGCGGAAGAGCCGGCGCAGCGCGGCGTCCAGGTCCGAGTGGTTGAAGGCGCGGGCGGCCGGCCGGTGGCGCAGGTCGATGAGGATGTGGTGGGTGCGCACCAGCTCGTCGCAGCGCAGACTCTGGTCGCCCTTGTCGGTGCGGCGCACGCCCACCGAGTTCACGCACCAGCACTCGGCCGTCTGGTTGCACTGGCGCGCCTTGAAGCGGCCCTGGTGGTCGCAGTCGGGGTCGTACAGGCCGTCGTTGTCCACGATCGCGTGCTGGCTGGGGCGCACCAGCCCGCGGCCGCTCTTGGAGCCGTGCATGCGCGCCTTCAGCAGCAGGCACTTGGACGTGAGCTTGGAGCAGTCCACCTCCAGGCCCGAGCCCAGGGCGCGGCACCGACAGGGGCCCCCGGGGCTGGCGCGGCTGCACAGCGTCATCTTGTTGGTGGCGCACGTGCAGTTGTCCTGCGCGGACGCCGGGCGGGTGGCCGCGGCCAGCAGCAGCAGCAGCAGCAGCAACAGTGGCAGCCCCAGCAGCGGCGGCGAGGGCAGCGCGAGGAGGCCCGGGCCCCGGGCCATGGTGCGGCCGAGATGCGCGGACGGGACGCGGCGCGTCTGGGCCGGGGAGCCGGGGGAGCGGGGAGGGGACCGAGCGCGGCGCGCGCGGACCGGACGGGGCGCGCGGGGACTGAGCGCGGCTGGGCTCGGGCTCCCGCGGCGGCGACCGTCTGTCTGTCGGTCTGTCTCTCCGGGCTCTGGCGCGGGCCGCTCCCTCCCGCTCTTATACTCCGCCCGACCTGCCCGGCTGGTTGGGCCGCCGACTCACCCGCTGGTATTCGGGTGACACATCCCGCCTCCCGTCCCGCGTCCCACGGGAGGCCCAGCCCGCCCTGCGCCGCCCGCGATAGGATCAGGGCCGCGGAGGCCGCTCCCGCCTCCTCCCGACCGAAAGCCCGGGAGAGGGGAACCGATACTCACCTGCCCGCGGCCGAGGAGCCGTCCCCGGCCCGCCCGGCCACACCCAGGCTGGACCCGCCCTCGGCGCGCTGGTGGCTGCCCACCGAGAAGGCCCGGCCGCTCTCCCGCTCTCCGCTCTCCGGGTTGGTGTCTCGGCAGCCCCACGGAAAAATCTATCAGTTCCCACCACCAAGCCCTCCCTTTTCCTATTCTGGAGTTCTTTCTCTTCCTAGTTTCTGACCCGCCCGCTCCCCCAGCTCGCTCGCTCCCTCCCTCCCTCCCTTCCTTCCTTCCTTCCTTCCTTCCTTCCTTCCTTCCTTCCTTCCTTCCTTCCTTCCTTCCTTCCTTCCTTCCTTCCTTCCCCCCTCCCTTCCTCCCTTTCCTTCCTTCCTACTTTCGTACCTACAGTACAGCCGGTAAGGCTCTTGCCTTCCATGGGTCTGACCTGGGTTCGATTCCGAGCATCTCATATATTTCGTCCACGACCCCCAGCCCGTCAGGAGTGATTTAATTCCTGAGTGCAGAGCCAGGAACAATCCCTGAGCCAGGAGTAACCCCAGAGGCAAGAGTAACCCCTGAGCACTGCACTTCCATGTCTGGCCCCAAAACCAAAATAAATAAATAAAATAACCACTCATAGGCGAGATAGTATAAGGGTGAAGGCACTTGCCTTGCACATGGCTGACGGGGGGTTCGATCCCTGGCACTGCATAGGAAAGATTCCCCAAGCCCTGAGAACTTCCATGTGTGGCACAATGCTCCCCCCCACCCCATTTACATAAATCAAAGCTCACACATAAAGATTACCTCATCCTTATGGAGGTACAGTTTCAGGCGGCACTTAGAGTTGAAACTTAGAGTCCCCCAGTCTTTGGTCCTCTACCTGACTGTTATGAGACCTTTAAATGGACCTTTCTAGAAAGGTTATCATGAGTTATCACGGCATGAGTTATCATGGTATGAGCAAAACCCTGGTGACCAGTGTATTAGAGCTTGTTTGAAACACCTCTCCCTCTCCCCCTCCCACTTCCTGTCCCAGTCACATTCTCTTTCTCTCTCTCTCTCTCTCTCTCTCTCTCTCTCACACACACACACACACACACACACACACACACACACACACACACTCACACATACCCATTAAGGAGATAGGAACATAAGGGCATAGGGACATAAGGAGTTCCTTGCCCATTGCATCAGGAAATAGCCCTTTGTGTCTGCTTCTCCTGGGGGTGATGCTTGGGTGCACCACTGCACCCCAGGGTGTCTGGAGCAGGTGGGAACACACTGTCTGCTGCGCTGTGGCTGTGTGGCTACTTTCATGGGACAGAGAGGTTGCTGTTTCCTGTGTGAATTGCTGAGAAAGTCCAGAGTTTCAAAGCTGTGGTAAAATTAACAATAATTAGTAAGCTATAATTATTCCCAGCTCTTCCATCAAAGCCCATTTTATACATTCAGCATTTAATGAACACCAGCGGTAAGACAAGGGTGTTGTTTAACACATGAAAACCAGCCGGGCCTCTGTCCTATTAGTTTTTCAGCAATTCCAGAGGCAGGTAGATGGAAATATGTCATTCTGCATTTACAGGGAGAGAAAGAAGAATGGAGCGGAGAGAGGGTATTCCTGATTCATAGCGCCCCGTGACCCTACTCTTTGTTCACTCACAGCGTCTGCCTACTCAGACCAACTATCTTGTGGGTCCCACTTTCTCTTCCTCTCCACAACCCCATTCTGCTCTGCATCAGAAATGGTTTCCCGAAGACAAATCTGCACCCTTTCCTTAAGGACTCTTCTACCACAGATTGGTGGGGTGGCATGGATGCACTTTGCTCCCTAGATAAAATTCATACTTCTAAAAAGATGCACGCAGATATCTGACCTTGGGAAGCTACTTTACTTCTCTGGGCTTCCATTTCCTCTTGTCTTGAAATGGGGTAGGAAAGTACCTCCCTGGGAGGTAGCTGTGAGAATCAGCGTTAGATAAGCGACCTGGGATGGTATCTAACAGTAGCAGTGCTCAGTAAACAGGTGTAGGCGGTAACTCTGCTGTGATCACCATCAGTGGCCGCTGCTCGTTTCCCTCTTGTTCCTGCCAGCTTTTGCAACCGTGCATGTTTTCAAGCCTTTGCTTGAAAGTCATAGACCTAGGTTCTCCCCTCCATTGATTTGATGCATAATCTTTTTTTTTTTCTTCTCTTCTGGCCTCCGGGAAGCCTTTCCCAGTTGCACTCAGGGCTTCAAGTACCTGTCTGGCCACACTGACTTACCTGGCCCCTGTCCTTCCTCCATCTGCAGATTTTCACAGGTCTTTCTGCACAGCACACCTAAATGGAGAGAGTAGATGCCAAACTTTGGAAATGGCAAAGATGTTAGGTTCACTTGATCACTTGACTTCCCGTTAATCTGCGATTTGCTCGAGCGGGCGCCAGTAACGTCTCCATTTGTCCCTGTCGCGTGCTAGTGTAGCCCTATGGTGTCTGTTCACTCTAGGAACACGAAGAGCCTCAAACCGATCGTTCATAATCTTGATGAAGAAGTCTGACCATCTGGTAGGTGGGCGGCCACGCAGTCTTTTGACATCCCGTGGAATCCAGTCGGTAACAGCTCTAGTCCAGCGATCTTCTTTAAATCTCATTACGTGACCAGCCCATCTGATTTTTGACACATTGGCAAACGAGACAGCGTCCCTTATTCTTGATAGTCGACAGATGTTGGAACTCCGGATTCTTTCTTTCATTTGAGTGAAACGTGATATTCCAAGCATAGCTCTTTCAATTCCTCTTTGGGAGACCCGAATAGCGTTCTCAGCCTGTTTCAGTAGGGCCCAGGTCTCTGAGGCATATGTTAATGCAGGAAGAACAGTGGAATCAAAGAGATGTGCCCGGAGCTGGAGGTTCTTCGTCCTCTTAGCTATTTCGCTGACACTCTTGAAGGCATTCCAAGCCGCTCTCTTCCTCCTGCGCAGCTCGCGTGCCAGGTCATTTGTCATGTTGACTTCTCGACCTAGGTACACATAGCTGTTGCATTCGGAGATGGTCGTTCCGTTGAGAGCAAATGGGGCATCAGGAACGAGGCTGTTTCTCATAAACATTGTCTTCGTAAGATTCAGCTGTAGTCCGACTTTTCCACACTCACGGTAGAAGTTGGCCAGCATTTGTGCCGCTTGGCTGATGTTTGGTGTTATTAAAACAATATCAGCAGAACGGAGGTGGTATAGTTGCCGACCATCTATCTTCCAGTAATAATTAAAGATGTTAGGTTACATTAAAAATATGATATATATATACAAAAGAAAAATTATATATACATCACTGTATCACTATATCACTGTCATCCCGTTGTTCATCCATTTACTTGAGTGGGTGCCAGTAACGTCTCCATTCGTTCCAGCCCTGAGATTTTAGCAGCTTCTTCTCACTCGTCTTTCTCAACGCTGCCGTATTGAAGGCTCTTTCAGGGTCAGGAGAATGAGACCCGTTATTGTTACTGTTTTTGGCATATCGAACACACCACGGGTAGTTTGCCAGCCTCTGCTGTGTGGATGGAATACTCTCGGTAGCTCGCCGGGCTCTCCAAGAGGCTGTTTATACACATATGCATGAATATGCTACCGTCTCACTTAGCCACAATCCGCGGGGATTGGCAGAGCCCCTGACTATTTCAGTGTGTCTAAAGCTGTAAGGAGGAAAGTGCTGAGGAAGGGTTCGCAGGGTCAAGGAATGGATCTCATGACTACTTAGCTAGCATAACCCCCAACTCTGCGAGTCCAATTTCTTCCTTTACATCATGCTGTCATTGGGGAAGATGGGGCAGAAAGAGACTGTCCTCAGTATCTTTTCTGGAAGATGTAGTGAACTGTAGATGACCACACATACCCGTAATTATGCTCTTTATTTTTTTCTTTTTGGATCACACCCAATGATGTGCTCAGGGGTTACTTCTAGCTCTGCATTCAGGAATTACTCCTAGTGGTGCTCAGAGGATCCTACGGGATGCTGAGGATCGAACATGGGTCAGCCACATGCAAGGCAAATGCCCTACCACTATACTATCAGTCCAGTCCCTCTTTTTCTTAACTCCTGTGTCCTTCTGTACTTTCCTCCAAAGTCACACCGTTGCTAATTCCTTTATGAACAATCCCAGGGCCAAAGGAGTAAAGCACTTGCTAGCATTTGGCCAACCTGGCTTCAAATCTCCAGCACCATATATGTTCCCCTGAGCACTGCTAGGGATCACCCCTGAGCACAGAGGCAGGAGTAGTCCCTGAGCATAGGTGGGTGTGGCCCAACCCCTGCTCACCCCACCCAAATAAGAGAACAGCCCTGGCTCAGAGGTTTCCTCCTTTATCCCTTCATCTCTGGCCTCCATCTGTAAAAGCATTTCTTTATATGTATTTTTAAACATTTCAGAAAGGTATTTCTAGGACTTTTAAGTATCTCAAGGGCAAGAACCATGTCTCAGACAGTTGTCCCAGTGCCAGCAATGTTAGACACTCGGCCACTCACCATGTCTATGGGCTTTGAGTTGTGTCCAGAATGAGGCGTGACAGTGTTCTCTCCACAGAGTGAGTTTGTGTCCATTCCTAGTTAGTTTAAGTCTTTCCTAGTTAGTTTAAGTCTCATTCTCCCACTCTTC